GCACGGACCTAGAAGGTAATCAACTGGCTACAAGAGAGCTAATGCAAAATACAGCTATTACTATATGGCCCTTAGAGTGTGGGACAGTACTCGGCCACTCAAGAAAGCAAAGATTTCAGGAACTAGGGAGGTTCGGATCAGTAATGAGAAAGTTATACACACACCACAACATACTATTAAATGAAGCGCGTTAAGGTGAAGCTGGGAGCTTGAAAAACAAAAATGCAATGATGAAAAATGAAAACATTTTAAATGTTTGTTCGAAATAATCTCTCACCTCAGACTATTAGACTCAATGTCTTACCCCTAAACTTCCTGTCACATTACTCTCGAGGCTTAGCAGTACCAAAGTGGAATTCAGAGTGCTACAAGAAATAGGGAAGGAGGAAATTGCAGGGAGTGCTCCTGGAAAGGGAGAAAGAGATAACGGCGTGAAGGCAGATGGGACGCGGACACCTCTCAGTGCCCAGACAACCAAGGACCTGGGACGCGGAGTAAAGAGGACCCCGGAGCCGTTCTGGCCTCGCCTGGCACTCACCATCACCTCAGGATCTCAGCGCAAGGAAACAGGTATGGTTGCGACAGGAAGTATACAACACCAACACCAACGCCGGGTTACTCTGGCAACAGAGCTCCACCTACTGCCGTACTTTGCGTGGGCCGCCCTGTCCGCCCCTTCGTCCCTATTGGCTAAAATTAAACTCAGCTCCGCCCACCCAATCGACAGAACCGCCCTTTCACTCCGTCGCCTGGGGCGACGGAACACCGCCTACCTCGTGCCAGCATCATCACTTCCGTTTGGCCGACAGATAACTCGGAAGTTCAAACTAATACGCGGCTAGGGTCCAAATAGTCTACATTTTATTTTTTAATAAAGGTTCATCCAGTTTTCACTTACTGGAGTCTTACAGAAGATGTTCTGTGTTACTTGAGTTTAAACGCACCACAGAGTGTGTTTACCTTTTTCTTTTGGAAAAGTATTCCGGAAACGAAACCCTGAGTAATCGGAAGTGATTATTTGTGAACCAGAAGCTTGATGTCACCAAGGCCTGGGCGGATTGGCTTCCGAGTGCAAGAGTAGTGTGTGGAGAAGTTAGCCCAGTGAGAGCTAGACGAAGAACGTGTAAAGTGAGGCCCCCTGCAATAGGAAGAGTGAGAGTCTGAGAGGTAAGTCCAAAAACGGACTTGTGTAACTAAGAGGGCGTTTTGGAACGGGACGGCGGTCTGAGTTGAAGTTTGGTGTTCAGTCGCTTTGTAAGGAAAGGTTGCCTGTTGTTCCAGGAAGGCTTGTTCAGACAGGCACGGAACTTGGGATTCGACTTCTGGGGACCGCAGAGGTTGACAGGCTTGTCGCTTCCATCCTGCCGCCTTCATACCTGTTACCCACTCCAGACCCATCCTTCACCCCCTTCCCTTGGTGTTTGCTGGCCGACATTGGCTGTGCTCGTACATTTCGCTGCCCTCGTACATTTCGCTGCGCATCTTCCGAGGGCTCACTGCTCTTTCGAAGGGTCTTTGGAGACCTGTTTTCAGAACAATAGGAGGAGGGTTTGTGACTTTTGAGGAAAGTAGTCGTGGGAGACGCTATGCCGAGTTATATCGAGTACCCGAGTGATCATTTTTGTGGTGAAACCAGTTGTCATCCAGTGTCCAGTTCATCATACTCATAATCACTGCATTAGTATCACCTTCCTTCTCAACGTTCTCCACTGAATCTTAGTCTATACTGTAAGGCCATGCATACATTTCTGAAAGTATATGCTATGCCATTTTAATTTTATTACCAAGAAGTGCAAATTATCATGAATTTTTTATCGCTTGTTAAACATCTGAACAGAAGCTCCTCTCTGATATATATAGTGAACAAAACAGTGTCAATAATGTCTACTGAGAACATAATTACTTTAATTACTTTTAAATTCCTGGTGTCATATCAGTGATACAAAAGCCCCTACAGTAACTATAGTACTCTTTCTGAGCTAAATTTAAGGACACACATCTGATAATTTAGAATATACTGGTGGTAATTTAGAGTATACACTGAAACAGAAATTTGAAAATAAACCACCCCTAATTTTTTTGAGACATTTGGGAACCATAACAATATCACTTTGTGAAAAAGGGCTATAAGGGGCACCTCCTAAATGCAGCCTTATTAAATGCAGAAGAAGAATATCACAGTATATAAATTACGGGGACTTAGTGAATGTTTTTATATGGTATTGTTTTAATTCTTTCATTTTATACATTTTTAGGTTTTTTAGTAGAAGTCTTGGGGTGCATTTTTATTGGTGAAAAAAATGACTACTCTTGAAAGTTTAGAAACCAAAGGTAAGTGTTCTTCTTTTGCTGATAATTGTTTTTAAAACATGAAATTTATGATGATAGGACGAAGGACTGTTTGAGCCAGGTAACCAAACCCCATAGAGCCCTTGGGAATCATTTGTATTTCATATCTCTTCATGTTTGTTTTTTAATGCAGTGTTTACATTTCAGGACTACAGATATACAGGTGAATAGTAACATCATTTGGTAGTATTTATTAGATGACTACTACTGTTAAACAGTAGTGTAAAAGCAAATTTTTATAGCTATGTTCTCTGTCCACTAGAAGATTGAGATTTAAATAAATAAGAATGTACATTTTAAAAGATTTGGGTAGATGGATGAAAAACCAGCAGGTATAAAAGAACTTTTCCTTATTGCATTGGTTTGTTAGGGCTGCTGTAACAAAGTATCACAAACTGGTGGCTTAACAGAAATTTATTGTCTCACAGTTTTAGAGTCTAGTAGTCCAAGATCAAGGTGTTGGCAGAGCCATGCTCCCTCTGCAGGCACTAGGGAAGGATCTGTTCAAGGCCTCTCTCCTAGTTTCTGGTGGTTTGTTGGCAATTTTTAGTATTCCTTGGCTTGTAGACACATCACAGTGATCTCTGCCTTTTTGTTCACGTGGCATTCTCCCTGTGCATGTATGTGTCTGTGTCCAAATTTCTCCTTTTTATAAGGACATTAATCTTATTGGATTAGGGTACACACTACTCCAGTATGATCTCATCTTAACTAATTACATCTGCAATGACTTTATTTCCAAATGAGGTCACATTCTGAGGTACGGGTGGGACACAGTTCAACTCAGAACATTTGCTAACTCCAGTAGTTACTTTTTAGTCCTGCCTTGCTTGTCCTTTGTGTAACATTTCATACTGTTGATCATTCCCACTTTTTGAAATACTTTTTGTCCTTGATTTCCATGACTTTACTCTTATTTTCCATCTACTCTATGGCCCTTCACTGTCCAATGCAGTAGCCATATGTGGCTATTTGAGCTTAAATTAGTATTTTTAAAAATTCAGTTTCTCAGTCACATTAGCCACATTGAAGTGCTCAATAGCCACATGTGGCTGGTGGGTATTGTATTAGAAAGTGCAGATATAAAACATTTCTATAATTGTAGAAAGTTCTGTTGGACACCACTGCTCTAGTTATAGTTTCTTTTTAATTCTCCTCTTCTTCTGGTTTATCTTTTAAATATTGATGTTTTTCAGCCCTCCTTCTCTTCTACTCTCACAGCTTTAGTAATTATAAGGATGGCTTCCAAATCTATCTATAGCTCAGATCTCTTTCCTTGTGATTCAGACCCTTGTAGCTTACTGTCTACTGATTATCTTCACTTAGACATAGAAAACAGTCTTAGCATGTCCCAAAGTTAGCTCCTCTAGATTCAGGTTATTGGGTAGAGTGAGTTGTGGAGGTTGCAGCTGTCAGTGAGAGATGGGAAACTATTTTCTAGAAGCCAGTTTTGCAGCAAGCAGATCTCCAAAAGCAAACTCTTTAAAGGGGGTTTAAATGTGTTTAGACAGCGAAGATCATGCCAATAAATATTTAACTGAATTTAATTCAGCTGAGTGCAAGAGCATTTCAGGTCACCAGAGGCTTTTTATATTATTAGAATAAGCAAACCAGGAACTGAAATGAAAGTAATAAGCTGGGGATTAATGGGAAATAAGAGCAATTAAATCATAACTACTATGAAAGCAGTTAGCATGGTACTTGGCAAAAAACGAAAAACTAAATACGACATTATCATTAGTAATTAGAAGTTAGTTATTGCAAGGCCTCTGTGAAATTATTTATTTGTTGTTACTTGTTTGTAATGAGGATTAGAGTTATAAAGCACTTTCACATACATTACTTCATTTGATCTTAATTTTACAGTGAGGTAGTCAGCTGTTAGTCTTAATCCTTCATTTAATATCATTTTAACTGTTAGTGAAGAACAGTTACTTGTATCACATGGCCTGAGAAAAGGTGCACTTATATGGTTGACATTTGTCAGTTGCCTACATTTCCTGTAACTGCCTCAGAAAAGAAGCAAGATTGGCTTATAGGGACAGAACCTCTTCTCAGCAGACATTTGAGCAATACTGTCATCATGAGATGGATGTGTCCTTGCTGCTAAGGCTTTTTGAAAGGGAAACATGCAATAAATAGAAACAATTAGAAAGTTAGAATTTGAATCCAAAATTTTTGGGGGAAGCAAGGTTGAAATTAAAAGTAAAGGGATTAAAGTCAAACAGTTTAGTGAAAATAGACCAAATAGGAAGGTCTGAGATGTTCAAATATTTATAATTCCATAAAATAGTCTAACTTTTAACTCTAAGTCTGTGGAACAATAGTTATTAGGTGAAAAAGGATTCCATGGACAGATAAATTAGAGAAATGCTGGATTAAGGGAGAGATTATACTACAGGACCCTTCAGAGGCTTTAATATACTGATGTACACTGTGCAGCTCCAAAGAGATATACGTGGTATGCAGCACTGCCCACACTTATTTGACCGGGAAGCTCTTTTATTTGCGGGGCCTGTGACAAAAGGAACGTTTGGATTCCACGTCAGTAAACGTGGGCCCGACTCTTAAGTTCACTGCCTATAGCATATTTTTCTAATTTAGTGGTAAGTAAACTTCATTGGGTGATACTGGTGACATATAAAAGAATATTAATTTAAAATTACCAAGTGATGATCCCTAATTTAACTGTTTTATAACTGAATCTGCATACAATCTGAAAAGTTTGTCAGATTATGAGTTAGTAATTAATGATTTCGTGTAGAGGAGAAAAATCGAGCAGTTTTTAAATGAGTTAGTTATTGGATGTTAAAAGGAAATCTTCTAGGTGGTGTGTTAATGTTAACATTAATGAACTTCCGTAAGCACTTACTCACCTTTTCTGCACCAAGCACCATTTCATTAAGCTGATGATACCAAGATTAGGAGGCAGTCCCTGCCCTTAGGAGATCTCAACAGTTTAGTCTAGGAGAGAAACAAATTATTTTGAAACACTCTTCTATTTGCATTATTCTGAAAGCAATGTAGGGTGGTTTGCCCAAGGTCACACAATGGGTGGCAGTGGAGACTGAAGTTTTTGCCTCAGAGTCTAGTCCAGTTTTATTATACCATCCTGCTGACTCTGAGTATCTGTCTTCATAGATTTACAGTTTTATCAAAAAAGGAGAAATGATTGTTTCATTACAGACTATAAAATAATGTTCTTTTTGCCTCAGTATTCTAGAGCAAGGATTGGCAAATTATGGCTCTTGGGCCTGCTGAGAATATTTGCAGGCAGTCTGATCATAGGGAACACGAGCTTTGAATCCCACTTAAGCCAAGTGTTATCCCAAGTAAAAAAGAACTCTATTCTTTTCATTATTAAACCTATATTACCCCCAAAAATTTCACTCAATAATTATAATTTGAATTTCATCTTTAAAGTTGTGTTTTTTCTCTTCATATATAAATGCCTATATATCAGTAGTATCCTTAATTTTGCCTCATGGTCCACAAAGCCTAAAATGTTATCTGACCCTTTATGGGAAAAGTTTGCCAACCCCTACTGAACAGTATTATTTGTTCTCTTGCTACATTTCACCAATTTGGGGGAAAGGCAGTGAAATTAGCCATAAACCTTAGATATGTTTTAATTCTTTGATAAGTGCTTACAGGTGGAAGTTAATGTTGATGAGTAATTGAAGAATTGTTTTGTTGGTTCCCTTCAAAGAATGGGAAGGGATTGATGTTTTGCTTTACTTAAACATTACTCATAATTACAGAGCTGGTACCATAGATCACTGTCATCCCACTTGACTGAAGGTAATTGCTCATGAATGTGCCCTGGATTGGGCCTAGTGCATATGTAATAAAGGTTTCTATGTGGGTCACAGAAAAAATAGAATTATGAAAGTAAGTTACTGGGCGAGAAAATGTAAAGCCCTCACTCCCCCTTGCCTCCTTGCCCCATGCACGGTAGCTAGAAGCACAGTTGTTACAAAGAGGGAGCTGCCATGTGAGATATGGTTCAGCTTTGGGACTCACAAGTGCTTGAGTAAGTAGAACAGTTTAAATAAAGGAAGAGTAAATTGAGTTTGAACCAAATTGATTGAATTTCTTGATTGGAATTTTATGACAATTTTGTTTGAAAAGAGATTTCTGTTCAATACCCATTGTTTCTTTGCCTTTTAAATTTAGCATTAACCATTTTGTGATTTGTTCTTGAATATCCATTACCTAAAATTCCAACTCAAAAATGTTACGACTTGCCTAGAAATCGTATTTAATCTTAACAGATGTCACACCTGCTTCTTATTTCTTCAGCTTCAGTGGGCCTGAATGGCATAGCTCTAGTGTGTCTTTTTGTTGTGTTTTTTTATTGTGAATCTGTAGTTAATTCATGACTCTACATTACTTCTTAAATGCCAGGATGTCTTAGTGACAAAATTAAATTTGTACAAGATAGAGTTAGACAAACTTGAAAACATATTTTAAAAGCATGGGAATAGACCTTTATTTATTTATTTATTTATTTATTTATTTATTTTCTTGCGTTATGCGGGCCTCTCACTGCTGTGGCCCCCTCACTGCTGTGGCCCCTCCCATTTGCGGAGCACAGGCTCCGGACGCGCAGGCTCAGCGGCCATGGCTCACGGGCCCAGCCGCTCCGCGGCATGTGGGATCCTCCCGAAACGGGGCACGAACCCGCGTCTCCTGCATCGGCAGGCGGACTCTCAAGCACTGCGCCACCAGGGAAGCCCTAGACCTTTATTTTTAAAACAGTTCAGTGGGAATTCTCCTTCTCCATGCTGATGTGCTACAGCATGAACTAAGTACCAAACCCTTTATTTCACTTTCGGAAGTATTCCTTTGTTCATCTTTTTGAAAGTAGAGTCAGTCCTAAAGCTCAAGGTATGTCTTAGTTAACATTTAATACAGAAATGACAAAATATTTTATTTTAATATAAAACGTTTCGTTAAATAGAACACCTTAATTATACCTCAGATGTCTTTCTACCTCCTGTGTAACATAACTCAGGATTCCCAGTACATTACTACATACTTAGGAAAAAGTCCCCAAAAATATGATAAATGAAAAAATAGTCCTAAAGTCTGATGATATAACTTTGTAAAACTTTAGCATAAGATAATAAAAGGCACAATTATATTTTATGATATTAAGCTTTTTCTCCCCTTAATCAAGATCCAAAGTTATTAGATTTTTTTAAAGAATAATAATAAAAGCAATAGGAGGTAACATTTAATGAGTGCTTACTGTGCCATTCTAAACACTTTAGAATGTTTTCTTATTTACTTTTAAGCATTGCATTAGCTCATGGATATGGAGCATGCAAAAAATAAAACTAAATAAAGACATAAGTAATAGATCTACTGATATGTCAGTAGGGTTATTTTGTGAGGCAGTTTGACAATGCAGATCTTCACCTGGCACATTAATTCTATTCTTGGGAATTTATTCAAAAGGAATAATTGAGAATTTGAAAAAAAAAAACCTGTAGGCATAAAAATATTCACTAAAGCATTTTTATAATAAAAAAGTTGGAGTCTAAACATCCAACAATAAAATAGTAATTAATTAAATAGTGCTATTTTAACTTGAAGGAATAATATAGTCATAAAATGAAAATATGGAGACAAGCAAAACAGAAAAATATATTAAGCTTATAAAGTTACTTATGAGTATAAGTATATAAAAATATTGAAGAAATTTGAAGTAATGAAAAGTTATTTTAGAATGATTAGAATATATATAATTTTTTCTTCTTAATATCTTTTAATAATGTAATGTTTTAAAAAATAGTAATAGAAACCAGAAGATATGTGACTGTGTATGATGATAATCTGTTCTACTCTCTAGTTCCTGTATCTATATAACTAAGTTTGGAAGAAGAAGAAAAATAAGCTTATTAAAAAGTAGAAACCTGGGAGGGAGGGATTGCGAGTTTCGGATTAGCGGATGCAGACTATTATATATCAAGTGGATAAACAACAAGGACCTACTGTATAGCACAGGGAACTATATTCAATATCCTGTAATAAACCATAATGGAAAAATATATGAAAAAGAATGTATACATACTTACAACTGAATCACTTTGCTGTACACGAGAAATTAACACAACATTGTAAATGTATATTTAAATCATATGAATATATGATTTGGCTAGATAGTAATGAATTCACCAAAGACTGATCAATAGTCCATGCTTGTTCAATTAACACTTTTGTAAAAATCAAATTTTTGTAGAGATATTTTTCTGCCACTTATTGCACACTTATTATATATTACCCAGTAATATGTTATCTTTTTACATGTATGTCCTGTCTCCTCAAGTTTAGATAGTAAGTTTCTTAAGCATAGAGGTCCCCACTACCTCATACAATGTCTGGCCAATATTAGGCACCAGGCAGCATGTTTGTTGCCTGTAAAACTCAAAAGTTTATCATCACCATCTTTATATGTGCTTATCCTTTTCCCTTCCTCTTGCTTCCATTTATTTATTGTTCATCAGATAGGGAGTTCTGGGTACAAGGCACTTTACTAAGAATATAGTGGTAAACGAGTGACACATAGTCCCTACCCTCATGGAACTTATATCCTAGTGGAAAGCACAAATAGTATATAACTAATTACACTGAAAAAAAATGTTTACCATTTTGATAAATGGTAAACAGAGAAAGGCAGGGTCTTTCCTCTAGGGGCGTGTAAACAAAGAACCTAGCCTAATCATGGAAGATTAGAGAAAGGCTTCCCTTTGGAAAGGTTGAACTGAGATTTGAAGGATGAGTAGGGGAGAAGTTAGGAAGAAGATTCCAAGAATATTCCAAGAAGAAATGTCTGCAGAGGAAGAGGAAGGCATTTGCTCCTATTGAGACACTAAAAGAAAGCAAGTAACACTGGAACTTAGGATCTGAGGGAGTGAATGGCATAAATTGAGACCCAGGAGATAGGCAGCGGGCCAGATCACCAAGGGCCATATGGGCCATGGTAAGGATCTTGGTCTTTATTCTGAGAGTGATAGGAAGCCATTCAAGGGTTTGATGCATATCAGATCTGCATTTTTTTAAGTTCACTATAACTGTTATATAAATTCTGTGGGCTTTTGCAACCTGACAAATAGGGCTATTAGCAGAGGCATTAAGTTCAAGGTTGATGAGGCAATAGTTCTGTTTGTGGAAGGCCTCCCAGACCAATTAACAGCTTAGCTCGAGTCATATTCGGACTCAAATCCCAGTTTGACACTGATGATTTGGACAAGCTATTTAACCTTTTACAGCCTGTGTTTCTATCTACAAAATGGGTACTATTGTGCTTACCCCATGAAACCTGTAAAAATTAAATGATGTTGATGCATCTGAAGGACTTAGAACTATGTCCTTGGCACATAGTAAATTGAATAAAAGCTAATTATTACCATTCCTAGGTTTTGGCCTCCATTTTCTCAGATGTATGCTGGACTTGTAAAATGGCAAGGAATCTAACTTGTTGCTCATAGGGATGTTACTGAATATACTAATTCAAGAACTCCATGTAGGTTAGGTATCATCTCAGCCATTTCCTCAAGGTTGCAACATTTCCCAGTCTAGCAGATCCTCCATTCTTTCTAAGCTCTAAACCACTTATTTTCTTGAATCAGTTAGTGAAATTAGCCCTTTCTTGGAGAAGGATGACTCAATGAAACTTCTTACACTGCTTAATTTGAGGTAAGGTAAAATAGGAGAAAAGAAACAAAATTTTTGTTATTTGACTGGAGCAATGGTAGTATAGTGGTGAGCATAGCTGCCTTCCAAAGGTTATCTGAACTAAGGACGGCTAGCCAGGTTTGTCTTATATGAGGGGAGATTTTTTTTTTTTGGCTGCATTGGTTCTTCATTGCTGCACGCGGGTCTTACTCTAGTTGTGGTGCACAGGTTTCTCATTGCAGTGGTTTCTCTTGTTGCAGAGCACGGGCTCTAGGCATGTGGGCTTCAGTAGTTGTGGCATGCGGGCTCAGTAGTTGTGGCTCATGGGCTTAGTTGCTCCACAGCATGTGGGATCTTCCCGGACCTGGGCTCGAACCCGTATCCCCTGCATTGGCAGGCAGATTCTTAACCACTGTGCCACCAGGGAAGTCCCAGACGGGAGATTATTTTAATTGAGCAAATTAGTAAATGTGTTCAGCAATGTATTAAGTGTTACAGAGGAAAGGAATGGGAGCTATCATTTATTGAATGTCTGCAATTCTGTGCAAGACACTTTTGACACTTGAAGGGGCAGTGTGTGCAGTGGTTAAGGCCTCAGTCTTTGGGACCAGGCTGCCCAGAATTGCATTCTGCATCTTCTACTTACTAACTGTGTGGTATGACTTTGGGCAAGTTCTTGAACCTCTTTGTGCCTTATTTTCTTCATCTATAAAATAGAGCTAATTATATTTACCTCAAAGGGTTACTGTAAGGATAAATGAGTTATGTGTAAAGTATTTAGAATAGTGTTTGGCACATGGTAAATCTTTTATAAGTGTTGTTTATTTGTTACTTAACCATTTTCTCATTTAAGACATAAGGTAACCCTAGATGTATTGTTAAATTCATTTCATGGAGGCTAAAACTGAAGCTTAGATAATTGCAGGATTTTGTCCAGGATTGTACAGGTAGCAGTGGTGGAAATGGGACTCAAAACCAGATCTGGCTGATCCCAGAATTCATGTCATTTCTATAATACCATGCTCCTTCCACTTGTTTAGGGCATGATGCCTGGCCATAGTGTGCTTATCAGACTTATTGGGAAAGTGAGATTTAGCATATAACAAAACCCATAAATGATAATTATGGTTCATGATTAAGATTCAAACTGAATGTTTGAGATAGTAAGTAGCATAGGCATTCAGAGAGTAGACTAGAACAGTTGGGAAAATTTAATGCAGAGTAGAGTTTAAGCTGACTTCTTAAAGGGATAAGTGAGAATCACAGTAAGTGTCGAAAGAAGCCATTTAAGAGAATAAGAAATAGCAGAAACAAAGGCCTAGGAGAGAGAGTATTAAGGAATCTGGTTGGATAACTTGTGAAGCATTCTTTGCTAAGAGCTCACCAAAACAGGTCAATCTATTTTGAGGTAGACACTTTCGAATACATATATACATAGCTTATATTTATTTTTATGTTTAACTAATATTATTGAGTGTCTACAACGTGCCAGGCATTTGATCTTATTACATTGTTTTGTACCACAACCCTGTAGCATAGTTGTTACTATCTCCATTTTGCAGATTAGGAAATAGAGATTCATGGAGGGTTACATTATTTACTTAGGATTATACTAGGAAGTAGAAGTTGAGGCCGAATACCTTGATTCCAAATCTCTTGCAGTTTCTACCAAGAGAGAAACCATTTACTTAAGGAAAGTTTGAACCTGTAAGACTTTGTTCATCTTTTGTTGACACATGATTGTTTTGAAAATTTTTACTCTAAATTTTTTCCCTTTTTTTCAGTACCAGGAGTTCTGAATGTAGGGTAAAGCATGTCTTAGCATTTTCCTGGCATTTCTTTTCAGTAAGTAGTTTATGTTTTGTTTTCCCTTCTATAGTCATCCTTACTTCATCCCCAATTCGAGGAGCAGGAGATGGAATGGAAACTGAGGAACCACCTAAATCTATTGAAGTTACTCCTGGAATCCAACCTATAAAGCATCACATCCTTCCAAGTCCACGAAAGAAAGCAGTTCCATCAGAGAGCCCAGGCGTTCTTCAGCTAGGGAAGATTCTCGCTGAAAAAGCAGTGGAAGTCGAAGCTGTAAGAATATTAGTTCCCAAAGCTGCTATAACCCATGATATCCCCAACAAAAATGCAAAGGTTAAGTCTCTGGGACATCATAAAGGAGAATTCCTTGGCCAGCCAGAGGGAGTTGAAGAACCCAGAAAGGAACTATCCGAGGTAAAGAATATATTGGAAAAGCTCAAGAACTCTGAAAGGAGGTTACTACAGGACAAAGAAGGTCTTTCAAACCAGCTCAGAGTACAGTCAGAGGTAAGAACAGCCTTAATAGGTTTAATGAGTACCTCTCTTTATACCTGGGCCTTCTGAGCCTGCATGTTAGAAAACAATACTTCCTCTTGCAATGTCATTATAACTTGTCATTTATCTAAAAAACTTCCTCTTAAATTTCTCATTCTCTTTAGTGCCTCTAATAGAACTAGTTTATGTTGGGAACTTATCCTCTAAACATGGTTGAAGTATGAGGTACTTTGGACAGTGTGAGGTACTTTGGACAAGGCTACCTACAAGTTGTAAAGGAGGTTACAGTTATGAACTTGCAGACCAGAGATTGACTAAGTAAGACTAGTTAATAATCCTTGCTTTAAGAATCCATAAATTCCAAGTATTTTTTTCTAGGTATAGATAATACTTAGAATAAAGAGAATGGTGGTATAAGTATCAGTATCTTCATTGTAAATGGAAAATTATCTATAGTGCTTGATTCACTTTCTTTAATCTTTACATCTTAGTAATGGCCTTACCAGCCCCACTTTGCCTCTCTGTTAGATTATACATCTTTCTGCTAGATGTTAGTCTTTGTGACACCATGGTTAGTGGTTGTCATTCAAATGTTTCTAATATATTTAATAATATATTTTAATATATTTTTAAATAACTGATTTCAAATTACAAAACTAGTACATATTTATTTGTAAACATTTTAGAAAATACAGAAAAAATAATGAAAATAGTGCTACCTATATTATACCATCTGGCTATAAATGCATAATTATACATACTGAGTATATTTTTGCCTTGTGACTCACTTTTTTTAGTTTTTTAGTTAATACAGGATATTCTATTAAAATATCATTATTAATAGCAACAGTGTTCTTCAATGACTGCACCATATACCAATACCTTTTATTGGACATTTATGTTTTGATTTTTTGCATTTTTGATAACAATGTGAAGAACATGCTTATAGACATGTGAATTGCTTTCTTTGCTTAAATTCTTAAAAATAAAAATCCTAAGGCACAAAGAAATCAATTTTTAAATGTTGGAAAAGATTTATAAAACACTCTGTCATATCTTTTAGCAAAATTTATTGGTTCAGTTTTCTAATTTTTTGCCTTTAAGTGTTGACTGGAGGCAATTTGTAATTTTTATGATAATGATTTGTACTCTTATAATAAGAGGCTAAGATTATAACCACATGGACTATAGATTAATAGAGATATAGACATGGTTATATACATTATGAAACTTAAATATTTAATATCACTTTTTGATACACACTTTTAGTAATGGAGGTCCAAACTACATGAAACACAGTTTCTCTTTTGTTCATTTTGCTACATTAAAGTCACTGGCATCACGTTGAGCTTCTTGTATTGGTCATGATTTCTTCCAGGTCAATCGTGAGTTAAAAAAGCTGCTGGTGGCTTCTGTTGGGGATGATCTTCAATATCACTTTGAACGTCTAGCCCGTGAGAAAAATCAGCTTATTTTAGAAAACGAAGCCCTAGGTCGAAGCACAGCTCAGCTTTCCGAACAGTTAGAACGGATGTCGATACAGTGTGATGTGTGGCGAAGTAAATTCCTTGCAAGCAGGTATTTTCTATTTTAAATAGTATTTCATTTCCTAGCTTTTGCTCTATCAGATTTTTGACCCCTAATGCAAGAAAATAGATTGTAATGTGAAAATTTCTGATTCAAATTGTCAGAGTACCTCATGTATTACTTAAGATGTGGACTCTCCCTCCTCTGGAGGTCATACAGTCTCCGTAAATGGAAAAGTGGTATCAAAAAGCACCCCCCTCATTCCAGAATTCTGAATTACTCGTCTATAGCAGAAATCACTCCTACTACAATGTTTAAGATCAAAACAAAACTGTAAACTCAGGCAATTAATAAATATGTAAAATTTTTCAAAGACTATTTTCCCCCACCTTCTATCTGGAGAACTCAAATATCGTTGCCACTCCGTACATCATATTCTGTCTCTTGTGCTCTGTTCTTATAGCTCATTTTACTACAGAATAGAGCTTCCCAACCTTTTTCTCACCACGCACAAACAGAAAATGATAACATCTGTATAACATACTGTATAGCATACTGGATGAGGCTACTCTCCAGTAGAGGTGAGAACCCTAGGCCCCTAGAACCCCCAGGCCCATGGACACACTGGTAGTTGGGAAGCTCTCTTATATATTATGATTGTCTATTTATCCCCTCCTTCCAACTTTGAGTTACTGGAGAACAGTTATCCATCTAACACACATCTATTTCTAATTGTACTAATATAGGATCTATTTGGAGAAATGAATTTATTTACTATTTATTGACTTAGAATGAATATTAATTAATTCTCATTGAACAGCCTAAGAAGCAAATCATGCATATATTTTACAGATTACTGTAATAACTTTTTTTTAACATTCTGATCAATGCTGATAGTAACACTCTAAGGGCAATAATAATTAAACCAAACTTTATTGATATTTTAGTTGATTTAATCTTTTAATGTCAGAATTGTTTTCATTTTAAGGAATTCAGTGGTTACTATGGTCTGAGACTTTAGTTTTAAGATTTTCAGCTGAATAAAAATACTTTAAAATTTTGCTTCAGTTCCATCAATAGAGAATTGGTTAAATACATTTTGGTACATCCAATCAGAAGAAAACATGAAGCTGTTTTTTTTTTAAAAAAAGGGAATGAGTTAGCTCTATGTGTGCTAATATGAAAAAAAATCACCAAGATAAATTATTAGGTGAAAAAAAGCAAACTATAGAAAAGTTTGTATTAAATAATCCCTTTTTTGTAAATAATATGAATATAGTTATTTTTACACATAATTTTATGTTGATATACACATAGATTATTTTTTTCTAGAAAAATGTATTGGTTACTTTATTGATCACTGATTATAAAAGAAGGATGGGGATACTGGACAGGAAGAAGGACTTAGTGGACTTAGTTTTGCTTTTTTATAAATCTTTCTACATTTAATATTTTTCTAAGGACAAAGAAGTAATTGATGGCAGAAAAACAACTCATTTTTTTCTCTTAAATTTTCCGTATTTAAGAAACATTTAAATAATGTTATTTTTTCCCAAAACTTGATTAATCTAGAGTAAGACTGAAGTACATTCCAAAGTCACTATATAGGGAAGTTAAAAAACTGTTTCCTTTGTCATTTTGTAAACAGATATTTTAATTGAGTCCCTTTAATAAGTTCTAAGCTCATAAAGATTTTACATGTTTTTTGGTGAAGATTTAAAAACTGAGAAGTAATTTGACAACATTAAATCTTTTTTGTAAGTTTTTAAAAATGACAGTCACAAAGGTAGTATATTAACTTCTTAACACTGTCAGAGAATTTATATGTAAGATTTTCATCTTTTCCAGGGTTATGGCAGATGAGTTAACCAATTCCAGAGCGGTTTTACAGCGTCAAAACCGTGATGCACAGAGTGCTATACAAGATCTCCTGAGTGAACGGGAACAGTTTCGTCAGGAAATGATAGCTACGCAGAAGTATGGCACTTGTTTACACTCTGAACTCTTCTCCTTTCTCCTGCAATTTTTGTTATTGAGATAGTTCTTTAGTATTTCCACATTTAATAACTTACTGAGCATATACATTTTAAAACAGATGCCCAGGGGAGGGAGAAAGACTGAAAAAACAGAAGACATGCTTCTTTTATTCTTAATTGGGGAGAGAATTAGTTATATCTATAATAGAAGAAATCTCTGGATTTAAAAGTAGTTTTTGGTTATAGTTATAGTAGTTTTGTATGGTTTTTGGTAGAAGCCAAAAGGCATACCGGTCTTTCCTTTGGAAGGAGATCTTTTTTTTTTTTTTTTTCTTGCGGTACGTGGGCCTCTCACTGCTGTGGCCTCTCCCGTTGCGGAGCACAGGCTCCAGACACGCAGGCTCAGCGGCCATGGCTCACAGGCCCAGCCGCTCCGCAGCATGTGGGATTCTCCCGGACCGGGGCACAAACCCGTGTCCCCTGCATCGGCAGATGGACTCTCAACCACTGCGCCACCAGGGAAGCCCAGAAGGATATCTTTTTGAGGATTGTTCTACAGTATTAGAGCTTACTTTCATGTCTGTATGCACCAGAAGTCAAAATTGATAGTCTTCCTTAAATGGACTTTATACTTTTATGTAGTTGATTTCTTACAAATCAAATAAGTAAAGGTCAAGAGAAAATCATAGGGGAAATTAGAAGAATGAAAACACAATATATCAAAATATCAGATTTTGTGGGAGGCAACTAAAGCAGTGTTTAGAGGGAAATTTATAATTTTAAATGCTTATTGTAGAAACGAAAAAAGGTCTCGTCAATAAGCTTCCTTCTTAAGAAACACAAAGAGCAAATTAAGCAGCAGGAAGAAAAGGATGAGAGCAGAAATAAATGAAATAGAAAGCCAAACACTGGTTCTTTGAAAAGATAAGTACAAAACCTCTAGGCAGTATAATCAGAAAAAAAATACATACACATGACTAGTATCAGGGGTGAGAAGGAGAGGGGTACACTACAGATTCTGTAGACATAGGAAAGATAATAAGGGGATGTTATGAACAACACTATGCTAATCAATTCAACAACTTAAATGGACGATCTCTTTAAAAGACCCAAACCACCAGAGTACTCAAGAACAGATAACCTGAATAGCCCTAACCTATTAAAGCAATTCACTTTGTAGTCAAAAACTTTCTAGTAAAGGAAACCCCAGGCCTATATGGATCCATTGGTGAATACTAACAGATATGTAAGGAGGAAATAAAACCAAATTTACACAAACTTTTCTAGAAAATAGAGAAGGGAACAATTTCCAACTCATTTTATGAGGCCAGCATCATCTTGACACCAAAACCAGACAGAGGCACTACAAGAAAACTACAGGCCAATATCTCTAATGAATACAGATGCAAAAATCCTTAACAGAATTTTAGTGATTCAAATCCAACAGTATATAAAAATGTTTATAGATTGTGGCCAAGTAGGTTTTATCCCAAGTATTATAAGTTAGTTTATCATTTAGAAATCAACCAATGTAACTCACACAAAAAATTATCATATACATATACCATATAAATATCTCAATAAATGCACAAATCAGTAGTTCTGTAATACTGTATGAGTATACTATTATATTTTATCTGTACTAAAATATGAGAACTAAAAAATGTGCTGTTTGTTGAATGATTTCCAGATAACCATAAAATCAATAAGTGCTTTCTGTAATCTGACTTATTTTACCAGACTCCCTGATTTATTGAACTCTGAGAGAAAGATAGAGGAGAAAGATACTATATGATTTCAGAAATATGTTTCTCATTTATTCATTATTCTTGATTTTTATATTTTATCCTCTTATTAATATTCAGTGCTCATGTGTGTTCTTTTCAGGTTGTTGGAGGAGCTCTTGGTCTCCTTGCAGTGGGGAAGAGAGCAAACTTACTACCCTAACGCGCAACCTCACAGCACAGCAGAACTAGCGTTAACAAATCACAAGTTGGCAAAAGCAGTAAATTCTCATCTTCTGGGAAATGTTGGCACTAAGGGTCAAAAAAAGTTTCCATCAACAGTTGAATTCTGCAGCACACCAGCAGAAAAAATGGCTGAAACGGTAAAATACTTCTCTTTCGTGATCTGTGGAACCTCTAAGACTGTCCTCTTATTGAAAGGTGACATGTTGTAATGGAAAGTGCTTGGCATTGGGAGTTAGGAAATATGGGATCAAAATTTGATTCTCATACTAATGAGCTAGGGATCTTGTAGAAAATTATTTCCTCTTCTGAGCTTTAATTTTCTCAAGCACTTGAGAAAAAAATGTATTTGTAGTTGTTTTTAAAGATGCCCTATTTTTTAGCTACTGAATCATTGATAATCCTTTTCTTGAGCTCATTTTGATATGAAAAGCACTGTGTAGAACTTTTAATTTAGTAATCAAGAGTAGATAATTGATTACTTCTGGTCTAAGATGTTATTTGTTTTTTCCCCATATACATGGGAATGTGCCAGACTCCACAGAATCAATTAGTGTAGACCTGGTACCTTCAGTCCTGTGTGAATTGAGGGCTCATGCAGGTGACCTGTCAAATACTGTGGTCTCACAGTTCTACAACCATTCAGGTTCACCCTCATTACACTTCAGTATCTGACTCCCATGTCCCCATCATAGGCCTTGTCATTACCAGAACTTTTCCACTTTTAAAATCTTCAACATCTCTCCTTGAACTGTGATCTCAACAGTTTTGAGGATTCCATAAAATAATACATATAAAGCCTGTAGCAGTTTCCAATATAGGTACAGTAATTTCTCAGTAAATAGTAGCTATCATTTTTACTATTATATCCTTCATCCCTCTAATCCTGTTGCCTTTACAAGTCCTATCAGTTCCTTCTAATTTATCCCCTCTCCCAAGTTCAAACACCTGATCTCCAGGCTAAACTTTAGTAATAGCCTCCTCACCAATATCCCCACCTTGCTTTTGACCTGCCTCCACGCCATCCTCTACTGTCAGTGAGTTATTTCAAAAATGCCAATCCCATCATTCTTGGTACTGCTGTTCAGAGGGCTCCCAGTCTCCCTCATTACTGAATCTGAATTATTTCATATTGTAGAGAAGGCCTTTCATTAATCATTATTCCAGTTCCCCTTCTCTAGTATCATTTTCCAGGTGTGTCCACCCTCTGAACTTCACATCCCAGCAGTGTTAACCACTTTCATTCCACAGATAAGCCACTGTATCTCATGCCTCTGTACATACTTTCCCTCTGCCTAGACTGCCCTCCCAACATCTCTCTTCTTGCCCAACCACTATATTGCCTTTAAGAATCAGCCTTCCCTGAATCCCACAGGCAAACCTAGATGTTCCTTCCTCCAGGCTTCCATTTTGTACATATATATCTAGTATAGCTCTTTATCATGTTAAATTGCAATTGTTTGATTCTCCATCTCTCTCCCAAACTGTAAGTTCCTTAAGGAGCTTATGTCTTACATTTCCTCAAGGTCTGGCATAATCCTTTGTACAACAGTAGGTGTTCAGCTATTTACAGAATCAGTCCCTGAAACTAAACTCATCAGCTTTATCCAAAATCGTTTCTCTTTTTCTATTCTTTTTGTTGGGAATTGGTGTTGCTGCCTACCTGGTTGCTGCCAGTAGCATTTGGTATAATTAACTACTCCTGATATCTTGAAACAGTCTCTTCCCTTGGCTTACATAACCCTACACCCTCCTATTTCACTATACAATGGTGGGTAGCCTCAAGGCTTGGTTTACATCCCATTCTCCCAATCCTTTATCCACCTTATCATCTCATTGAACAAAACGGACAATCCTACTTCCTTAGTGTCTCTTGGACCTTTTAGCCACGTTGCTTCAAGGTCAGCATTTCTTAGCTAGATTATTGCTGTAAACTCCCTTTCTCTGTTCTTCCCATGTCTGCTTTAGTGCCCACTCCATCCCTCATCCACCCGCTGTGTATAGAGTGATCTCTCTGAAAGGCACCCTGCTTAAAATCCTTCCCTATCACTTTCAGGCTAAAATCTAGAAACCTTATATCTATACTGGTATCTTGGTCTCCTTTAATTGTATTCCTTTGGCATTTTGTTCCTCTCTCTAAAGGCACATAATTTAATAACATATAGAGAGTTGGGGTACTGTTATAATTTTCCCTTCTAAATTTATAAGCAGCTTTAAGATAAGCCCTTTATCTCTGTTTGTCCAGTAGCATCTAACCAAGTTCCGTAAAAAATAAAAGGATATCAAAAACTAAATTGAAAAAGCAGTAATCCAGTAGAAAAACACAGGTACTGAAATAGAATGGTAGCTCTTAAATGATGCCAGGACGTTTTTAAGTTAGCTATAGCTCTTTGGGTACATTGGTAACTTAGAAGGAAAAAAACCTGCTGGACAATATGAGAGCTAGGGAAACAGACATCTCAAGCCATTTCTGAAAGCTGTTTTGAATAAGCCTTACATAGAAGGAGAGAAAGCTCTTTCCACCATTGCTTTTTCCCAATTCCTTTCCAATTCCAGTGCCTGCCTCCTTTGCCCAATAACCCATGTTCATCATATGATGATGGTTGGAAGAATATGAAAATGAGAAACAGGAGCTATGAGCCAGCCATGTTATCCTTGCCCTTAACTGGAGAATTTTTTTCAACCCAAGAGTTCCTCCTGTTGTGGGTCTCAGTAAAGGAAACAGAATAGGAAAAATCAGAGCAGAAGAAGAATTAAGAGAGTATGGTGTCCATGAATCCAAGAAACAAAAGCATGATCGTTAGCATCAAATATTTCATATAAATTAGAAAAAGAGAAATGAAAACCATTGATTTTACAAGTAAATGATCAAAAACTTTGAAATAACATTTCAGTAGAAGGATGAAGGCAGAATCCCAATTCCAGGCAGTCCAGTGAAGGACTGAGGGAGAAAGGTAGTGCATACTTTTTGGTTAAAGATAAAAATCAACATCACTTACAGTAAAATTGATATAACCTAATTTTCTTTTATGTTTTCATATATTTTCATCAATATGCATAAGATTAATTTTCATTATTTTTAAAAATAGGTAACCTAGGTAATATAATAACGACATCATTGTCAAATTTAGAGCTTTTTAAGATAAGGCATAAGTTCTCTATAATCAAAGTCATCATTCAGATGTTATTTTTTATGGCAGTTTCATACTAATGAAATAGCACTTATTGGTAGTTATATATTAATAAAACCAAGGGCTTTTACAGTCCTTACTGCATACATCTGACATCACCTCTTATTTTCCTTAGGTTCTACGCATTTTGGATCCAGTAACCTGTACAGAGAGCTCACCTGATAATCCATTTTCTGAGTCTTCACCAACCACCTTACTTGCTACAAAGAAAAATATTGGACGATTTCATCCCTATACAAGATATGAAAATATAACTTTCAATTGCTGCAATAACTGCCAGGGAGAACTTATTGCCCTTTAACAGTCAATATGTTGGAGGCACACTACAGAGTCATTATTATTTGGCAGCTGGGGTTCTTTTAATGCTAGAAGTATTATCACTTTCTATTTAAATAATATATATCCCCAAAGATGTTTTATGTACTGGACTCCGGATTACCCTTTCTTAATAAATATCTCAGGGTAAGAAAAAAATGAAACTATGTAGATATATTTAAAATAGACAATACAGGCATTACAGGATGGTTTTCCTAAAGGACTAAAAGAAAGATTCTGTACCTTTCTTTTAGGCTCTAATTTATTAATCTTGCTATATATTTTACATAAGCAAATTAATTTCTGTACTCTAAAGCAAGGATTGGCAGACTACAGCCTTGGCTCATATGCAGCCATACCCACTCATTTACCATTGTCGGTGGCTGTCATGTGCTACAACAGCAGAATTGAGTAGCTACAACAGGGTTTGTATGACTAGCAAAGCCTAAACTATTTACCATCTTGTCGTTTACAGAAAAAGTTTTCTGACCTCCACTCTAAAGTAAAAGTAGCTGGCAGGGGTCGGGGAGGGAGTGGGATAGGAGTCCTTTCCCTTTTTGGTTATTTTTAGGGGCTACAAAAGAGTCTTATGGAAGTACTGTGGGTGAAGGGACTACTTTAAAAATAAATGCTATATGTTAGGAAACTTTTAAATATTTTATAGCCACATTAACAAATGCTTGAGCAAAACATGTTCTCATTTTGGTTTTGTGCAGGGGATTCCATATTTTGAATGGATGCAACTTGATATACAGAAGAAACATTCTAACTATTGAGCTCATGCTGGCAATTGCAGCACAACAAGAGTATCCAATTTGATACTTATGAAATATGGCAGAGAAAATAGGATCTTTGGGCTTCCCTGGTGGCGCAGTGGTTGAGAGTCCGCCTGCCGATGCAGGGGGCACGGGTTCGTGCCCTGGTCTGGGAGGATCCCACATGCCGCGGGGAGGCTGGGCCTGTGAGCCATGGCCGCTGAGCCTGCGTGTCCGGAGCCTGTGCTCCGCAACGGAAGAGGTCACAGCCGTGAGAGGCCCGCGTACTGCAAAAAAAAAACCAACATGTTTATACCAAATTAACTGGTTGCAGAAGTGCCTATCAGTAAAGAAATCCTCAAAAGACAAATCTGATCAAATAACAATATGTTTTAATGTCAACTTAATGATTTTGTTTTGTTTTGTTTTGGTCTGATTCATCTGAGTTATAGTTTCAAGTGGCAATAAATTTCTCTACCTTCTTTAGTGTGAATATTTATCTTTCCCCCAGAATGATGTGCTTCAGTTCAAGTCTTCATCTAGCTTATACTATTTACAACTGACTCTTCAGCCTTTCCTTTAGGTTTACTTAGTATAAAACATAGGATAGGGAGGGTGGGAGGGAGGGAGACGCAAGAGGGAAGAGATATGGGAACATATGTATATGTATAACTGATTCACTTTGTTATAAAGCAGAAACTAACACACCATTGTAAAGCAATTATACTCTAATAAAGATGTAAAAAAAAAAAAAAACAGAAGAAAACATAGAGGAATAGCTCCATGACAGTGGATTTGGCATTCTTGACTATGACACCAGAAGTACAGGCAACAAAAAAAAAAAATAGATAAACCTCATCAAAATTAAAACCGTCTGCACAGCAAAAGAAATAATCAACAGAATGAAAAGGCATCCTACAAAATGGAGAAAAATATTTGCAAATCATGTATCTATTAAGGGTCTAATGTCCAGAATAAATAAAGGGCTACAACTCAACAACCAAAAAACAATCCAGTTAAAAAAATGGGCAAGGGAATAGACATTTCTCCAAAAAAAGATATATGAATGGCCAATAAGCACATCAAAAGATGTTCAACATCACTAATCATTAGGGAAATGCAAATTGATATCACTTCATATCCATTAGGATGACTATTACCAATAAAGCAAAAAAACAAGTGTTGGCAAAGATGTGGAGAAACTGGAACCCTTGTGCATTGCTGGTGGGAATGTAAAATGGTGCAGCCATTATTGAGGACAGTATGGAAGTTCCTCAGACAAACACACAATTGCCACATGATCCAACAATTACACCTCTAGGTAGATACCCAAAAGAATTGAAAGCAGGGACTCAAAAGGATATTTGTATACCAATGTTCATAGCAGCAACATTCACAATAGCCAAAAAGTAGTAATTCACATGTCCTTTGATGGATGAATAGATAAAATGTGGTATATACATGCAATGGAATATTATTCAGCCTTAAGAAGGAGTATATTCTGATATGCTACAGCACAGATGAATCTTTAAGACACTACACTAGATAAATCAGACACAAAAGGGCAAATAGTATATGATTCCACTTATTTGACACCTGAAATAATCAAATTCATAGAGACAGTGGAATAGTGGTTACCCAGGGTTAAGGGAAAGCAGAATGGAGAGTTGTTTATTAGGTACAGAGTTTCAGTTTGGGCTGTTGAAAATTTATGGAGATGGATAGTGGTGATGGTTGCACAACATATGAATGTACTTAATGACACTGAATTTTACATTTTAAAAAGGTCAAAATCATAAATTAGGTAATATATATTTTACAATTAAAAAAACTTAAAAAAATTATATACATACACCCTTGTAACCACAAACTAGTGGCACACCTCTACAACTGTTGGTTTAAGAGTGTCAATAATAAAGATAACAGTTAACTGAGCTAAACAAACAAACAGAGTTCATATATCAACAACCTAACATTACACCTTAAAGAGCTAGAAAAAGAAGAGCAAACAACCCAAAACTAGCAGAAGGAAGACAATTGAAGTTAGGGTGGAGATAAAATAGAAAAACAGAATCAAGGAAATCAAAAGCTGGTTCTTTGAAAAGATCCACAAAATTGACAAATCTGTAGCCAGACTGTCTATGAAAAACTGAAGACGCAAATACCTAACCTCAGAAATGAGAGTAGGACATTATTACCAACCTCATTTAAATAAAGGAACAATTATACACCAACAAATTAAATAACCTGAATGAAATGGAAAAATCCCTAGAAACACAATTTACCAAAACTGACTCGAGAAATAGGAAATATGAAGAAGCCTATAACAAGAGGTTAAATCAGTAATCAAAAACCTCCCAACACCAAGAGTGAATCCTAACGTGAGCTATGGATGTTGGGTGATGATGTGTCAATGTAGGTTCAGTGATTGCAACAAATGTACCACTCTGGTGAGGGATGTTGATACTGGGGAAGGTTTTAGGGATGGAGGGAGCAGGGGATATATGGGAACTCTCTGTACTTTCTGCTCAACTTTGCTGTGAACCTAAAACTGCTCTAAAAAATAAAGTATATTAAAAAACAAAAAACATCCCAACAAAGAAAAGTCCAGGACCAGATAGTTTCACTAGTGAATTCTACCAACTATTTAAAGAATTAATACCAATCCACCTCAGTCCCTTCCTAGAAAATAAAAGCAGAGGGAACAGGGAACACTTCCTAATTCATTCTGAGGCCAGCATTACCCTGATACCAAAGCCAGACAAAGACACAAGAAAAAAATACTACAGAAAAATCTCTCTTACAAATACAGATGAAAAAAATCCTCACAAAATACTAGCAAACCAAATACAACATCATAGTAAAGGGATTATATACCACTAAGTGGTATTTGTCTCAGGAATGCAAGGGTGGTTCAATATAAGAATATCAACCAATGTAATATATCACATTAATAGAACAAAGAAGAAAAACCGCATCATTTCACTTGACGCAGAAAGCATTTGATACAACCCAACACACTTTCATGATAAAAGCACTCATAAAAATGGGAATAGAAGGAGTAAATAGAGGGAGGAATAAGAATAAAACTTCTTCAACTTCATAAGGGGCATTTATGGAAAACCCACAGCTAACATCATACTTAATGCTAAAAGACTAAAGCTTTCCTCCTAAGATCAAGAACAAAACAAGGATGCCCAGGCAGAATGGAAGGGCCACTGGAGACATTCTGTTCTGAGGAGCAGCCAGTGGCACGATGGAGCAGGGCCAGGGACCGCTTACACTTGAGATGGACTATGGAACAGCACATCCCAGAGGTGGAAGTCCAAGTCAAACGTAGGACAGCCTCGCTGAGCAACCAGGAGAGTCGCCTGTACCCGAGGTGTCTCAGCAGCAGCAGCAAGTACCTGCGGTGGATTTCCATGTGGAGCTGAGACAGGCATTCTTAGCTGAAACACCAAGAGGTGGTTAAAGCAGTATTGGAACACCTGGGTAGCTGATTCCAAGAGAAAAAAAACCAGCCTTCCCTTAGGTCTTAAGGATCCCAAAACTTTCCTGTAGGTATTGGATTTGGTGGAACAGCATTCATGACTCTGGGAAAGAGCAGCAAGATGCTGCAGCACATTGACTATAGGATGAGATGTGTCCTGCAAGATGGCCAGATCTTCATTGGCACCTTCAAGGCTTTTGACAAGCATATGAACTTGATCCTCTGTGACTGTGATGAGTTCAGGAAAATCAAGCCAAAGAATGCGAAGCAGGCAGAGCGTGAAGAAAAACAGGTTTTGGGTCAGGTGTTGCTGTGTGGAGAAAACTTGGTTTCCATGACTGTGGAGCGACCACCCCCCAGAGATACTGGTATTGCTCGGGTACCACTTGCTGGAGCTGCAGGAGGCCCTGGAGTTGGCAGGGCAGCTGGCAGAGATGGTCCAGCTGGTGTTCAAATTCCCCAGGCTCCTGCTGGGTTAGCAGACCCTGTCCGAGGGGTTGGGGGCCATCCCAACAGGTAATGATCCCACAAGGAAGAGGCACTGTAGCAGCTTCTGCAGTTGCTGCTACTGCCAGCATTGCTGGAGCCCCAACTCAATATCCACCAGGATGGGGGACTGCCCCCACACCTGTTGGTCGAGCAACCCCACCTCTAGGAATTATGGCTCTTCCACCTGGTATACGATCACCCATGGGCCCACCAATTGGGCTCCCCCCTACTTGAGGGATGCCAATAGGCATGCCCCCTCCAGGAATGAGAGCCCCCCTCCACCAGAAATAAGAGGCCCACCTCCCCCAGAAATGCATCCAGCAAGACCCTAGGATACTATTGATCCTTCTTAGTCACTTTGTTTCCCGCAATGCGTCTTGTGAAATATGTGGAGTGTTCGTGAGCTTTTGTCCCCTCTGCTGCATTAATATTAGCTAATAAATGCATAAAGCAATTAAACTGTGGGGGGAAAAAAGACAAGGGTGCCCACTTTCATTACTATTACTCTACATTATATTAGACATGTTAGCCAGAGTAATCAGTCAACAAAAATAAATAAATAAAAGGCATCCCGTTGGATAGGAAGAAGTAAAACTACACCTATTTGAAAATGATATTATCCTATATAGAGAAAATGCAAAAAAAAAATCACCGAAAAAGTTTAGCGCTAATAAACAAATTCAACAAAGTTGCAGGGTATAATATCAATGCGCAAAAATCATCTATGTTTGTGTTTTGAGTATACAACCCATAAAGAAAATTAAGAAAACAATTCCATTTGCAATAGAATCCAAAAGAATAAATATCTATGAATAAATTTAACCAAATAGGTGAAAGATTTGTACACTGAAAACTATAAAACATTGCTGCACTAAATGAAAACTCTTGTGTTTATGGATTAGAAGACAATATCATTAAGATGACAATAGTACCTAAAGCCATCTATAGATTCACTGCAATCCTTATGAAAATTCCAACAGCTTTTTTTGTAAAAATGTTCTGGAATATTTAAATGCCAAATTGGTTTTTATCATTAAGGATAAACTTTAAACAACACAAGACTAGTTATAATGAAATGTTAAATTGCCTGGTGTATGCTCAAAGTGCTGTAGGAAGTTGAGACAGGATTGAATAGTTCTCTGTGTTTTCTAATTTAGGGTCAAGTGATTAAGGTACAAATACCCAGTTGATAAGAACCTTGTCTTTTGAAGCTTTAACAGAACTCCTACAGCAATTCTCCACTCCCCATCACACTTGTATGTTTGCCTTTGTCCTCCACTCCTTAAGTGCTCTTACACATATCAAGGATACTGTTCTCCCACACACTGGATTCCTGTATAGTCCTATATACCCACAGATGTCTACCAAGGTATGTAAGCTTTATAATATAACTAACAGAAAGGATTTTGTAATCATTCAGATCTCAGAATCTGTGAGCAAACTGCTCACCTCTGTACTTTGGTTTCCTCATCTGCAAAACAAGACTAATAGGGTTGTTATAAGGATTAGATCAAATTATTTATGCAAAGCACTTACAACAATACCAGGCACATTATATAAACTCTCAATAAGAGCTGGATAATTTTGTATAACATACCTAAAATAGTATACATAATTGTTACTATCTTTTTTTTTTTTAAAGAACACGTGGAAGTAGGCGTAACCTACCGCTTAGCTTGCCATAGGTATTCAAATTCAAATCTGACATAATTAGGACTTTGTATCAGGCCTTGAACGAAGCTTGTTTAAGAGGTCACTCCCCCTGCCTTATGAAATGTTCTATTGCATTTTTTTTTAAATGATAACAGAAACTAATAGATATCTGTCCCTTTTTTGTGTCCGTTCCAGCTAGAAATGTTAAAATAATTTAGAAGTAAAGGAATGTACAGTTCATTTGTTGTTCAATTTTTTCCATGGACTAAGAAGTGGTGTAACACATTACAATGCTATGAGAGAAGAAATTTATTTTGCTCTAGTGTTAAAAGAAATAAGATAAATTCACTATCAACATTACCAAAAGATAAATAGCATTTCCATAATTTAGAGTATGACCAAAGCACACAGGCCATAAGAAATGATATCCAAAATTTTGAGGACAGCAGCTTCCAAATGAAGTATTTAATAGATACCTTCAGCTGTAATGATCAGTAAAACGGAAAGATTTGGCTTCTGACATATTATATAGGTGGTACTGTAACTGTTTAGAACGCTTTGCTTCCAGTCGGAGCTGTCTAGTTCTTTCTTTGACAGCTTGCTGCTCTTCTAGTTTTTCTATCCGTTTCCTTCTTAGCCATCTGTAGAAAAAGACATGAACATACCTGTTGAGTATCAACCTGAATATACTCTTCATGCTATAAAGTTATTACTATAGACAAAGGAAATTAGATTTCTTTAGATTAAAAAGCTCTGTTCATAACACAAATTAGTATTAACTGAAAAATTTCAGGCTTATACCAAAGGCTCATACAAGGAAGCACAGTCACATTTAGAATCAAATGTTTGAAATTGTTTGTCTAATAAGGAAACTGCCAACGAAAAAAACTTTTTTAAGTAATAAACACACTATTTTATGTGACATAGGTCCTATCTTTTAAAATATGATTTTCTAAGCAAATAAGTATTTGACAGATACCAAATAACTTATTTTTTGCAACTAACTGTATTCTAAAACATTACTTAAGCAGCATGCAGAATAACAGCATGCAGAAATGTCGTCTTGTTCTTCTTGGTGGAGAAATTATAGAGCTCTTGGTTTTCAGTGCATAAAATAGTTCTCTCTTAAAATGGAAAATTAAGCCTAAGCATAAGAAACATCAAAAAGGGTGAAGAGTCCACATTCTAACAAATTTAAGTCTATAAAACTTGCTTAGGTAAAATAACATTAAAAATAACTGTATACTCACATCTCTGGCATGAAAGTGCATACGTGGTGTGTGTGTATATATTTTTTTTTCAGAAATAAATCCAGACAAATAAATAACTGCATTAGTATAAAAGAGACTTAAGAAACCTCATAATCTAATGTTGTATGGTTTTGAAACTGGATATCAGTTTGAGCAAATTAACTGTAGTCATTTAGGGGTCAATTGGGAAAAAAATGGTTATAGGCTGGATATTAGATGAGATCATTAACAAAAATAAGCAGATTATTGAACACTATATACAGTATGATCTCAATTTATATTTTAAAACTGTAAATATACGTTCAGAGAAATATCTAGAAGTTATGCAGTACAGTGCTAACAATAGTGATTCCTGGGTGATGAAAATGTGAGTTTATTCCCCTCCATTTCCACAATGCACATTCACTGCATCTATTATAAAAGGATATGTATATTTTTTAAAGAAGGAAAGGAAACAAAGAGGCAAAGAAACTAAAAAAGAGAAAGATAGCAAAAAAGATAGAAAAGAAAGAAAGAAGTGAGCTTCAAACAACTGGACACAATATTCACACCCTCTCCCAAGGTATGCTGGCAAAATTATGAAGCCAGGTCTGTTTCCTCAGAATAAACCGGGTAATACAGATTCTTACCCAGGCAACTGAAGGGAGACCAGGTTTGCCTTAAATTACCAAAATATGTGTCCAAATCTCCTTTTCATTCGGTCTGTACAGATCTTCCTCCTCAGCCTGACTGCTTTACTTTACAGAAAAAATATTTATTGGTAAATGTAACTTTTTATTAAGTTTTCCTGAGGACTGTGTAGGAGAAGCTGTAACCAGTCTTTGGCCTATTTCTCTAAGAAATGAACAAATCAATCAATCAATCAATGGTAAGCTATCAAAGGTTATCACACTGGTGCCATAAGAAACAATTTTTGTATTGAAAAATACCTTGAAAAAATGGTATAGATATTACACAAAGTATGGATGGAGTTAAAGAATTTTCTCACATATTGTTAAAACTGTGGCTTTAAAATTGAATAGGTATGTAGTGAGATCAATTTTTTAAAGTTTTATTGACTATATAACTTTCAAAAATGACCATGAGGAAGGGGGAAAAATGCCCTGCCTTTGACTTACTGTTTAAAGGCCCTTTCACGGCCTTCTGTTCCTTTAAGGAAGAATAAGCATTCCTCTTGCTTTCGCAGTTCTTCTGTCTTTCTTTCTTTCAACTGTTCTTCGTGCTTTTTTTTAAGCCATAATCGAAAAGCTTGCTGTGGATCTCTGTTTTCCTGCTGCTTACAAAAACAAGCTTGGCTTAATTTAAAGAAACCAAAACTACATTTTTTTTTTTTTTTTTTTTGCAATACACGGGCCTCTCACTGTTGTGGCCTCTCCCGCTGCGGAGCACAGGCTCCGGACGCGCAGGCTCAGCGGCCATGGCGTCCCCTGCATCGGCAGGCGGACTCTTCAACCACTGTGCCACCAGGGAAGCCCCAAAACTACTTTTTGAGCCCCTGCCTATAAGACCCTATAGGAACACATGTCCTACTCACCAATTTTTCATAATAATACCAATCTCATTACTTGCGCTCCTTGTATCCAAACCAAATACATGACCTTTGAATCAGCAACACTGATTACTCTTTTGTCAAAAAATTCAACATTGAACTCACTGCCCTCTGGCTTCTTTCAAAAGTCTTACTGAGGTAATCAATAAATGAAGGGCTAGATGCAGTGATTTGCAAACTTTTCAAAGTTGAGCCCTTTGACAAAATAATTTTGCAAAATGGCACATACACATAAAACATGGTTGAAGAAATGTTGGGGATAGGCAGTATGAGTGAGTTGAGGTCTTGGTGTCAATTCCTGAAGGAAGCTCCATGGAAGCTCCACTGGAACTGAAAACCAATGACCCAATATTTGTGTTATTCAAACTTTCTTTTAAATTCTACTTTCGTTTTTAAGTTTTAAGAGCATCTAACTGCCAAGCCCATCTCCAAAACTGTAATTATTATTATGGAGGGTGGCAATGAGGATTTTCAACCATAAGAACTTTTTCATAAGGATAACAGCCATGAGGATTTTGTCATAAGAATGAGCTAGTGGAGCAGCTTATTGTATGGTTCTTCAAAGTTCATGATGGATACTATATTCAGGGATAGCTGAAAGAGCTCTTATTTGGGAGAATAAAGAGACCAAAGGGAAAGATTTGGGACTCTTTAGTCTTGGGAAAAGCATGACTCACATGGATGCCTGGCTAGAACACAAAAGGAAAAGATTCATTCATTTAATACTTTCGCCAAATATGAACTCTGTGATAGAGAAGACCACCTCCTACACCTTGCATTTTCCTTTATCTGTAACCCATATTGCCCAGTATGCTTCAGTCTAATTTATATAATTTATACAATTTAGGATCTTTGATGTATAATGCAGAACTTTGTGAGGAGGTCCCACGGACCTACAGGACCATTGCTGAACACCTAAAAGTTTGGGAATGTCTGGAGATGACTAAAAAGTGTTCAATCCGCAATTATAGATTAAAAGAGTTAAGAATTCAGAGATAAACAGGATTGATGGGTATCACTGTTCATCTATTCATTCAACAGCTATTTACAGAGTATCTACTACACAGAGTATCTACATGCACATAGCTACCGGGACGCATCAAAGAAAAAAAAAAAAGGCCACAGCAGTGAGAGGCCCGCGTTCCGCAAAAAAAAAAAAAAAAAAAAAAGCCTCCCTTTCTCATACATTCCATACCTGCACTATACAATAAAGTAGTCACTAGTCACATGTAGCTACTTAAATTAAATAAAATTAGAAATTTAGTACCTCAGTCACATTCAAATACTTAATAGTCACACTATGGCTAGTGGCTACTTTATTGGATGCTGCAGATATAGAATATTACCATCATCACAGAAAATTGTATAGGGCAGTGTTGTTCAAGATAAGGAGATGAAAATATATGATTGATTGACTGATTGATATGTCAGAGAGAGTAATAATGGGAGAGGTGAGGAGAAAGGATGGTATTTAGCAATAGATAGAAAGTGAGGGAACCATTTATGGGATATCTGGAAAGAGAGTATTTCAAGCAATGGTAATAGGGCAAAGGATCTGAGAAGGGAGTATACTTGGCATGTCCAGTAAATAGCAAAAATCCACTGCAAGAAGAAAACTGGAAAATTCACAAATATGTGGAGATTAACAGGCTCCTGAGCAACCAATGGGTCAAAGGATAAAAACAGATGGGAAGTCAAAAAATAGCCTGACACAAATGAAAAGGGAAATACTACATACCAACACTTACGGGATACAACAAAGACAGTTCTAAGAAGGTGAGATCAAAAAACCACCCTAACTTTACACCTGAGGTGTAATTAGAAAAAGAGATATAAACTAAGCCAAAAGTTAGTAGAAGGAAGAAAATAACAAAGATCAGAGTGTAAATAAATACAACAGAAACTAAAAAGACAATAGAGAAGATCAAAGAAACTAAAAGCTGATTTCTTAAAAAGATAACTAGACAAACATTTAGCTAGACTTACCAAGAGAGGACTCAAATTAATAAAATTATAAATGAAAAAGGAGACATTACAACTAATAGTACAGAAATACAAAGGATCATAAAAGACGATTATGAACAACTATAAACCAACAAACTGTAAAACCCAGAAGAAATGAATAAATTCCTAGAAACATACAACCTACTGAGACTGAATCAGGAAGAAATAGAAAATGTGAATAGACTGATTACTAGTAATGAAATTGAATCAGTAATCAAAAATCTCCCAAAAACAAAAGTCCAAGACCAGATGGCTTCTAGAAAATCAACAGAAGAATTAATACCAATCCTTCTCAAACTCTTCCAATAAACAAAAGAGCAGAAAACACTTCCAACCCATTTTATGAGGCCAGCATAATGTGATACCAAAGCCAGACAAGGATACTACATGAAAACAAAATTAGAGGATATCCTGGATGAACAGTGATGTAAAAATCCTCAGTGAAATATTAGAAAAGCTAATTCAGCAGTATATTAGAAAGGATCATACACTATGATCAGGTGATTTTCCAGGGATATAAGGATGGTTCAAATCTACAAATCAATCAGTGTTATACACATTAACAAAACGAAAGATAAAAGTCATATGATTATCTGGATAGATGCAAAAAGGCATTTGACAAAATATCTTTTCATGATAAAAACTCTCAAGAAATTGGGTATAAAGAGAATATACCGCAACATAATAAAGGCTATATATCACAAGTCCACAGCTAACATCATACACAATAGTGAAAAGCTGAAAGCTTTTCCTCTAATATCAGGAGCAAGACAAGGATGCCCATTCTCACCACTTTTATTCAACACAGTATTGGAAGTCCTATCTGGAGCAATCAGACAATAAAAAGAAATAAAAGGCATTCAAATTAGAAAGGAAGAAGTAAAACTGCTCTATTTTCAGATTACATGACATTATTATATTATTCTATATGATACAGAAACCCTAAAGACTTCACCACCCTAAAAATGTTAGAACTAATAAACCAATTCACTAAAGTTGCAGGATATAAAATCAATATAAAAAAATCTGTTGTTTCTATACACTAACAACAATCTATCTGAAAGAAAATTAATTACATAAGCCCTTTTAAAATAGCATCACAGGGCTTCCCTGGTGGTGCAGTGGTTGAGAGTCCGCCTGCCAATGCAGGGGACATGGGTTCGTGCCCCGGTCTGGGAAGATCCCACATACCGCGAAGCGGCTAAGCCCGTGAGCCGTGGCCACTGAGCCTGCGCGTCCGAGGCCTGTGCTCCGCAATGGGAGAGGCCACAACAGTGAGAGGCCCGCATACCGCAAAATAAATAAATAAAATAGCATCACAAAGAATGAAATATGTACTTAGAAATAAATTTAACTAAGGAGGTGAAAGATCTATATGCTGAAAACAAAAAGACACTGATGAAAGAAACTGAAGAAGACACAAATGAATGGAAAGATATTCCATGCTCACGGACTTGAAAAACTAATCCTGTTAAAATATCCATTCTATTTAAAAATTGTCCATATAATCTAAAAATTCATTATAATCCCCATAAAAATTCCAACGGAATTTTTCACAAAAATAGAAAAAAAAATCCTAAAATTTGTATAAGATCCAAATATCCAATGTAATCTTGAGAAAGAAGAACAAAGCTGGAAGCATCATACTTCCTGATTTTAAACTATATTATAAAGCTAAAGTAATCAAACACTATAGTACTGGTAGAATAGATACATAGATCAATGGAACAGAACAGAGAGCCCAAAATCAACGCATGCATATATGGTAATTAATTTTCAACAAAGGAACCAAAAATAACAATGAGGAAAGGACAGTCTTTCCAACAAATGAAATTGGTAAAACTGAATTGCTACATACAAAAAAATGAAACTGAACACCTATCTTACACCATACACAAAAGTCAACTCAATATGGATTAAAGACTGTGTGTAAGACCTGAAACGGTACAACTCCTAAAAAGAAATATCAAGGATAAGCTCTTAGCATTGTTCTTAGAAATGATTTTTTGGATTTGATAGCAAAACAAAGACAGCATAAGCAATAATTTTTAAATGGGACTACATCAAACTAAAAAGCTTGTGATCAGCAAAGGGAACCTTCAACAAAATGAAAAGGCAACCTATTGACTGAGATAAAATATTTTCAAACTATATGTCCAATAAGGGGTTATATCTAAAATATACAAGGAATTCATATAATTCAATAGCAAAAAAGAAAAAAGTCCAATTATAAAATAGGCAAAGGACTTAAATGGACATTTTCCCATATAAGATATACAAATGGCCAACATGTACGTGAAAACATGCTCCACATCACTCATCGTCAGGAAAATGCAAACAAAAACCACCATGAGATATCATCTCATACATGTTAGGATGGCTATTATCATAAAAGACAAGAGAAAACAAATGCTGGCAAGGATGTGGAGAAAAGGGAACCTTTGTGCATGGTTGGTGGGGATGTAATCTAGTATAGCCATTATGGTAAACAGTGTGGAGGTTCCGCAATAAATTAAAAATAGAATTATTATATGATCCAGCAATCCCACTTGTGGGTATATATCCAAAGGAAAAAAAAATTATCTAGAAGAGATATCTGCACTCCCATATTCGTTGCATCATTATTCACAATAGACAAAGTATGAAAACAACCTAAGTGTCTGTAGATGAATGAATGGATCAAGAAATGTCACACACACACGTGCACGCACACACAT